CTCCCCCCCTCACAGCCGCGCTTCGCACGGCGTCGGGCACTACGTGTCCTCCAAAAAATTTCCAGCACCACTCCCCTAAAAATTCCTGGGGAGACCCCTGAATGGCCTAATCTGCCTGATCATCATCTACCAGGCTTGCGTCCCGATTTTTCTCAGGGAAAAACCTGAATAAAGTTTGCACCGAGACTTTGCCTTTGACCCGAAGTGCCCACGTAGGAGTTGAAATGTAAAAAGTGTGCCTTCTTTATTAGAAGGAATATGGTACATGTAGTATGAAATAAGGTACTTCTTTCAAGAAACTTTTAAGTTAAAACAGTTAAAACACCACTAAAGACCGTACCTTGCCAAAGATGGAGAGGCAGGGCTGAGGTTCCAGGGCCGGGTCTTCTAACTTGACCACACCCACCCATCCATACTGGTGCAGGTCCTCCTCATCACTGTTGTTACACAGGCCCAGGGGGTGCAGCTGCAAGTACAACATCATTAGTGAGTTTGGCTTTCCAGCTGCTGTCAACCTGTTGAATGATGATTTGTGTATACATGTATAACTTTGAATAATCTCTACGTTACCATCTAAGACCCAATTCACACTCAAAAAATGATTTGGATTAACAACTCATTAAGCATCGTTTGCAGAAAGTATCCGGATTGACACTCCTCTTGGCCGATGTGAATATTGTGTCACACTTGAAACTGATCGAGGAGTCACGTGACTAGATACCACCATCTTAATATGTGGAGCCGCTGCAACTCTGCGTCATCACTATTTTGCCAAACAATACAACACAAAAAGCACGTACAGCATGAAATACAGAGGACACATATTTGGCTGGCTAGGATTTAGCTCCTGTTGTGTAAAGAGCAATATTTTTCGTTATTTACCCTAGTCCTGTGGCCGCCGAGAATACTCAGTTTTCACGAGTTTCCTGTATGCTAATGCCGAGTATACTCGGTTTCGTGGTATTCCAAATGTGGACGTGTTTTAGCTGCAAATTATCTGGATTTACACTGAAATATTTGCTTGGGGACCCTGATACTATTAATTCTAGGGGAATTTATCCTTCCTTCAGTGAGGATTCTCCGGAAAGTAGCGACGTTGTGGGGAGCACATGGAACAATGGTCCCGATGGACATATCCACCGTGGAGTTGACAATGGTCCGCAGTTGCAAACGAGGTAGACATCAGGGACCTATAGTATTATGTACCTTATTTTTAGAGCCCCAGAAAGGAGAATACGGTTGTTGTAATATATCAGCCTTTCAGCTGGATGGTCAGTTCAGCACCCAGGACAGTCTGTAGCTGGGATTTAGCCAGCGCCCGTTTTACCGTCAATCAATGGTATTTTGTCCCGCCAGACGGAAAAATTTAAGTCCTTACCGTCAACATTGACGGCCACACAAAGTGGCCTTATCATAAAACTTCGTCAGACCTCCCTCGAAGCCTTGATCGGCAATATAAAGATTTCTGGAGGATCGCTGACACACGAGTTTTGTGAGGAAATCGTCAGAAATCTGAGCCACATCGCTCGCTGTCGATCAGCGCTTGGGGCCAGCTCGGTGGAAATCGGAGGCTGTGACGTCATGACTAGGATCATTTGCATGACGAAGCTGGCTGGTGAAGCCGCCGCGATTCAGCTTTTGTTTCGACCCGGATTTGGGTGGGTCAAAAGAAAGGGAATAGCGGGTTGTCAATGTGTGTTGTCTCCTTGTGAGGACCATGGATTTTTTTTCATTCTGCAAAATTGAAGATTGTGCAATTTTTTTATTCTGCAATTTTGAAAATCTATCTAAAAATTGCAGACCGAAGACGAGTATTTAGACCACTGAATGTATGAAGTGAGCGGGAGGGTGTGATGTCAATCAGCGGATCGTGAAAGGCAACATTCTTTAAGCAGGGCTCGAAATACCCGGTGGTGCACTGGCGCGGCGCCACCTGATTTTGCTTGGCGCCACTTATTCCTTAACTCAGGTGGCGCAGCGCGCCACCAATAATTTGCGTGGATCGAGCCGCTAATCGCATGGATCGGGCCCCATTATCGGCACAATCTTGTGAATTGTCGATGAATTGTCGATCTCGCCATGACACCACAAAGAAAACGTTCTCATTGGTAGAAAATCAGACACCTCGCTGGCGTTTCACAACACAATTTTCATGTAAACAACTCCGACTGTCCTTGTTTACATGCAAAGCGCGCCGATACAAAATCCTGCCGGCCGCCCGACCGACCGCATGCGACGCTAAGTTTTCGGCGGCTCGGCGGAAAAATAATCCATCCCCAGAAGAAATTTTACGCATGAAAATAACAACTACAACTTGTTTTCGTCGTTATATGAGTTTCTGAGGCCGTAAAATGTTAAAAATGTTGAAATTTGTCGGAAAAAACAGCTCGAAAGACAGAATGAAAATGGCCGACGCTGCTTCCAACAATGTGGTCAAAGGTGAAGATAGCATCCAAGCGTCCAAGATACATGTACTAGTATTACACGCATGAAAAAATTTTTTTCGGCAACGACAGAAATAAAAATTCACTCGTATTTCTAAAAGGTTAATTTGTAAACATTACCGTGAAATTTTCCGAATTTATTGGTTTCTAGTGTCAGAATATAATGTTGTTTCTATGAATGTGCGGTTGGATGCTGTGGGGGCTTTTACAATTGGGAGAATCTGATATTAAGAGAATCTCTAATAATAGTTAGTAATATCTCATCTGATTCTCCCAATGTAAAGGGTCTTTACAATCGCGGCATCCAACCGCACATATATACAAACAACAATATTACACAAGAAACCAATAAATTCGGAAAAATTTCTCAGTAATGTTTGAAAATTATCCTTATTAAAAATATAAGTGAATTTTTATTTCAGTTGTAGCCGAAAAAAAATATTTTTCATGCGTTTAAAGTATCGTTTTTAGCACTGTAATATGTACTTAGTACATGTCTTATACATTTGGATGCTATCTTGACCTTTGACCACTGTTATTGTAAAAAACAGGTCGGCCATTTTGTCTTTCTCGCCGTGGCTTTTCGAGCCGTTTTTCGAGCAAATTTCAACCATTTTAAACATTTTACGGCCTCAAAAACTCATACAACGAGGAAAACAAGTTGTAGTTGTTATTTTCATGCGTAACATTTCTTCTGGGGGATGGTTTATTTTTCCGCCGAGCTGCCGAAAACTAGCGTCATGCCGCAACCATGCGGCATGGGAGTTTTATTTTGTATCGGTGAGCTTTCACGATGTAAACAAAGATAGTCGGACTTGTTTACATGAAAATTTTGTTGTGAAACGCCAGCGGGGTGTCAGATTTTCTACCAATGACAACGTTTTCTTTGTGGGGTCATGGCGAGATCGACAATTCATCGACAAATTATTCACAGGATTGTGCCGACAATGGAATGAATTTTCCCGGAACTTTTCCGATTTTGAAAAAAAGAAATAAACGTACCGTATAAAATAAGAATGTACCGGGTGGATTTTGAGGCGAAAAATAATAAACGTCCCGGTACGTTTAATAGAGAGGTGAGAGTAAGTTGTATAAAGGCTGTCCGTAAACTCTCTAGGGTGCAGAGGAATTTAGCATGCTCAGCGCCAAACGAAGCTAGTGGGGGTGAACGAAACTCGTTGCAACGTGTACAGGTTGGTTCAGTGCAAACTTCAATTATTAACTCGTCTAAAGGCTGTAAAGAGATTTTGTCAACTACGTGTGTAAAGAGATGTCTAACACTCCCCTAACTAAATCTTTATAAAGGGAACAAGGTTGCGAACAAAATAAAGGCTCAAAAGGCCACAGATCCCTCTGGCAGTTCTTGGCGAAGTGGTGCCTTACAATGATCACGGGCGTATCCCTCCGCAGAATTCTCCGTGATGTGGCCCAAGGCCTCATCACCCCATAATTACGCTGTAGGCAATGAAGACAGGCAAGTGAAGACACCAGATGATTCAACTGTCCGTTGAGAGTGTTTGACATAGGTAAAGCCATCAGAAGGCCAGGCCGACCAGCGGGACCTGTGCCCAAACTGAAGATGGGTGATGTTGTATATAGTTAGGCCAAGGAAAAAAAATGTTGTGTTTCCTGTTTCAGTCCAGAAAAAATTAGGGTCGGTAGGTAGGGATTATCTTATTTTATTTTTATTTTTTATTTTTTTTTTAGACTTTGCTGATTGCTGTGTTTATATAAGCAGAACATGATGAAAAATCGATTGTGCAATATTATATTTCATCACTCAAGTACTCAGGTGTCAGATCATGGAGCTTTAAACGGTCGATCAGCTCGAAGAACTTAACAGATGTCCCTAGCCCTTGCAGGGCTAAATTCAGATTCAGGTCCAGATTCAAGTCTACAGGTTTTCAGGGTTCTCCCAGGGATTTGGGAGAAAAAAAAAGAAACAAAAAAGAATTCTAAAGAAAAAAAAAATTAATCTGCACAAAATTTTAATTGGTTTCTATCCCTTTGTTTGCCTAAAAATCGATAGTGTGATTGTATCAATTTGAAACCCCAAAAAATTAGCTAAATCAGCGATTTAAGGTTATTGTGCAATGGACGTGCCCTATGACCTTCAACCTTTGGGGGTCATGCAGGCGTCAACAGCGCCCTCCCCCATGCCTTGCCAGTCCGTTTTCGTGGGCAAATTTCTGCTTTTTTAGAGGTTTTGCGACCTAAAAACTCACATCAGAGGAAAAATACACCACAGACGACATTTTCATGGTAAATATCGATAAATGGACCAGGCATTTTTCTGTCCCGTTGCCGATTTTGCTGATTTTCGCCATGTGCTTATAATTTGTTTACGTCGATAGCTACCTTTCCTTGTCCGGTTTTATGGGCAAATTTCCGCTTTTTTAGACGTTTTGGGACTAAAAGACCGACAAAGGGGGAAAAATAAATCATATACATTATTTTTATGAGAAATACTGCTATCATGGACCAGACATTTTTCTTTCGCGTTGCCGAATTTTTGCGGCCGCCGCATGCTGATGGTGCAGTACGGTAGGGAATTTTCTACTTTTTCTGCTTTTAAACTTATTTTCGGAGTCGATGGCTTTGTTTTACAAACAAATCAGACAAATTATTAGCGTTGTTTACACGACTTCAAAACGCTAGCGGGGCGCCCGATGTTCCACCAGACAGCGATTCTCTCGGTAGCGTGGTGCAAAATGTTTTGGTTCAGCAATATGCAGGGGTCCACACAAAAATAAGGCTAGGGTCGGCGTTTTTTTTTAGGGTCGGTCGGGAAACAGGAAACACAACATTTATTTTCCTAGGCCTTAGGAGGATGTTGGAGAGGTTTGTTGACGTACGAGGAACCGCAAAGCAGCTGGAGTCTGGACCGAGCCTTGAGGAAGGCACGGGGAGGCACTAGCCGTAGCACAGGTGAGTGTTTTGGTGTAGAGCCAGAATCAGACAGTCCCTGACAAGTGGCGGTGCCCTGGGCAGAGTGGGGGGGGGGTGAAGCGAGAAGGTGTCATATGCTCTAGGTTCCAGGATCGCGGGCAGGCCATCAGGTGCTTCAGATGCCGCCGAGGCGGTGCAACGTGGGGAAGGTAATCGGGGAAGGTAATGTCGGCTGTGGTGATGTCGAGGTCACCAGCAAGACGCTCCAGACAAGCTGAGAGAACTGCGGTGCTGGGATGCCCGGTACATACTTGGAACTTTTCACTACTCGCCGCCCAGGAGTCCTGCCCCGGAGACGTGTGGTGCAGAGGAGACTGTGTCGAGGATGCGCTAAGGTTCGTCAGGTGAGGAGAGCCGCAGTCAGCGTTGTGATGCGTAACCGTCGGTGGAGGGGGGGCATGATATTCTAAAGGTTCGGGAAACAGCGAACAGGAAACATGAAATATAAGATGCTATGTTCATGAATGTTCTTGCCGTGTCGTGTTTGATGCAGTCTAGCCACTACTAAAGGGTTTTTGCAGCCTGGTATTCGTCCCTCTTAGCTTTTTCTTTGTAGGGACAGTCCTTTGCTGGATGAAGTGCGGATACATCAGGACGTGACTCTGGGCAGTACTTACACTTGTGCACAAGGATGTCGCCATACTGCCCCACGTGATCTCCTGACAAGGTGCAGAGGCCCGCCTGATACTTGGCACATGGAGTGTCTGCGACTGACCAGTTATCTCTCTTGGTGCTTCCTTGTGTTGCTGCTAGCTGTGATTGGGGGAAAAGTCGCCGGAGGAACTGGTCCTTCAACTCCTTTAATGCTGAAATGATGTCTGGAGATTCCAAGTCCAACAGCAACTTCCCTGCACGTGTGAGCATAACGTTGTACGAGGTACAGACTCCCTTAGTGCACCCAAATTTGGAGCTGTGCACTCAATTTTTTTCTGTGGGTGCACCAGTGCACCCAAATATTTTCTTAGGCTTAATGTATGTAAACGATGTTTAATGTGTAGTAGTTACAGCATATTCTTAACTTGAACATTCTAAATGTCAGAAAAAATAATACAATCATTGTTATCATACTTTTCTTGAAATGAAACATAGTTTTTTCTGACATTCTACTTATCTTAAATGGTGCATCTAAAATATTTTTTGTGCACCCAATTTTTTAGGTTGGGTGCACCAGTGCACCTATTCCCCAAAATGAATTTCAAGCCCTGGTGTACGTGAGATGGGGTTTTGTGCGCGTGAAAAATTTGCGCATGAAAAACTTGCGCGTGAAAAATCTGCGCGTGAAGATATGCAAATTAGCTGATTCCAGAGGGATTCGAAAACTTTTTGCTGTTTTAAGCTTAAAAGTTGGAAAAAAAGGCAAGAAAATCAAAATTTAACATCATTTTGCTTGCATTCTAGACTGCATAGCCTTGTTTTGTCCATTTTTCTGTGATTTCAGGTGATTTTGAAAGGTTAAGTTTTCACGCGCAAAAAAGGTTAAAATTTGCGCGTGAAAGAATTTGTTTAAGAAAGCATGAAATCAAACTTCTAGAATGGAGAAAAGCTTCAGATTGTTACATTTGACCATCCTAAACCTCATACTAGTAACTTTTCCATGTATTTCCTACAAATTCAAGTGATTTTCAAAAGTTCAGTTTCATGGAAAGTATGCAAATTAGCTTATTCCCAAGGGACCAACATTTTGAAACAAAAATTTTGGCTAACAGAGCGAAAATTATACCAGAGGACAACATTTTCCTGCTTAAGAATTTGGTACTGCATATTTTCTAACATATTTCTGGGACTTTTATTTTTCACGCGCAAATTTTTCACGCGCAAGTTTTTCACGCGCAGAAAACCCGTTCCCGTGTACGTGCTCACTTCGTTCATGAGGTTCTTTAGTATAGTTTGCCCTTTGAAGGCAGGAAGCATCAGATTCAAAAACTATGGCCAATTCTCCGTGGACTAGCTGGTCTAGAGAAATGTTCACAGGAGTTACTGGGGTAACACTGTTGAACACAAACTCGTAGGGCCAGATGAACTCCCGCTTCACCTCGTTGTGTAAGCTTACGGGTGAGACCACTAAGAAGGTTCTTCTTACCTGCCCCGTGTTCCCCTCTCTGCTAAATGCATCGTTGTCTGCCGGGATCCTGGCCTGTTGACGAGTGGGGAGGGGGGCTGAGTGCCACTGCCGAATGATTCGAGCAGCTTGAGCACTCGAACTTCTTTCAATGTGGGATAGGAGCTCGAGTACCTGCTCGGTCGCTGATAGGTATAACTGTCTGCTGGCCCGGGGCATTCGCTCGGTGTCAAACCGCTCCTCAGGTCTTGCCGCACCCTGTTTGCTGGTGTTTCGCTTCGTCTGCCCAAGTCTCGCGAGATTTCCTCCATGAGGCGGGGGGAGGGGGGCGTCCGTCCTCCCGTGGCAGAACTCCTCCTGCAAGAACACCAGGTCCGGCTTCAGCTCCTCTATTTCCAGGCTGGCATCAGCTACTTGCTCTATCACTAGTATCAGTCTGTGGCAAGGGCTCTTGGCCGGCATCGACGTGTTTTGGGGGAGATCCAGGTCGTACTCGCCAGGTCACTGCAAGGTCATACTCATCACGGTAATGTACCGATCGCCGTGTCTTACATTTGGGGCGCACAACTGGAGACGTGTAAATACCCGGAGAGATACTGGAGAGAGATGTGCAGGTACTGGGGAGAGGCGTGCAGGTACTGGGGAGAGATGTGGTATGTGGTACTGGGGAGAGATGTGCAGGTACTGGGGAGAGATGTGCAGGTACTGGGGAGAGATGTGCAGGTACTGGGGAGAGATGTGTAGAGCAGGGCAGCAGATACTAGTGAGAGATGCGGAGAGACGTGCCTAGCCGTGCAGATCCCTCTGCCAGTTCTCGGCGAAGTGGCGCCTGACGTCACGGGCGTATCCCTGTGCGGAATTCTCCGTAGCCCAAGGCCTCATCACCCCATTATGAAACATATTCTAAGACCCGGAGTCAGAAAAATGATAATATCACTGCAATAGTGATGATGATGAATAGTACTTTTCTTTACAAATAAAATATAATTAGTTTTTGATGACGTTCTACTTATTCTATTTTATATGGTGCACCCAAAAAGGTTTTGGTGCATCCAATTTTTTAGGTTGGGTGCACCAGTGCGCCTATTGCTAAAAATGAATTTCGAGCCCTGACGTTGAGTTAGAGCTGTCTGTCTACATCCTAACATTACGTACATAGAATTAATATGGCTGCTTATGCTCTGTGCAAAAGGACATGCAGGTCCTTCTGTATATTATTATTACCACTATGACTTAGGCCCCGTTCATGATTGGATATCTATTACGAATTGATTTGATTTAAAAAAATAAATCAATTCATTTGGGAACATGAACGCTCCAAACCGGTTCCGTTGCGATTTATTTTGAACCACCTCGCGAGGTGGTCTGAAACGATACATAACGATTCGCATTCGTAGAATTGTAATCATGAACGCGTGAATGCAAATCATTTTGGTTCGACGCTGTACACCCGGGTACGAGGGGCCACGGCCGGCCATAGTTCGTGGCGCAGTGGCTTGTACTGCGGAAAATTCTACTCGAATCATACAATTTTGACATCGAGTTCTAATTACTGGTCGACTGAGGAAACGGGAGTTCTGATATTGACTTGGGGAAATCAGGAGATCCAGAGGAAAAGTGGATGGTGTGCACCAGAACCTACCCTGGGCGTGAGGGCGAGTGGTAGCCCAACGGCGGCGGACCATGGGAGTTTGCGCCAGATGCACCCGGGGCACAGCCTATGGATCATGTATGGGGAGGACATGAGTCGGGAACGAGCGACCACTCGCCCGAACAGGCGTAAACTCTCTGCCTTACGAACCGGGTTCCCAGGAAATGTTCAAAGAAATTGTGCTATACATATGAAATGCAAGTCAATTCGAGGTGTGAAACCGTTTCCAGTGTGGGTGCAAGTTTTGAATCACGGACGCAAAAATATATTCCATTTCGAATCGGATCGTGGCCAAACCGGAACACATCTGAATCATGACAGAGGCCTTAAAGAAAAAGGCATGCAGACCCTCCTAGCTAGCTAGACAATTCTGCCCCTTCATATAATTGTCTACTCAAGTTCTTTCGAAATCACTTTACCTCATCTACGCCCACCACCTGTTGGCATTTTCATAATTTCAGAGAACTATCCCCTAGTAATATTAGGGCATACAAGTAGTATTGTGCTTCAAGTTGAACTGAAGTTTGCTATTTACATTACGGTAATTTACGTAGGGAAAATCACACGACAACGTACGACAATCACACGACAAAAGTATACACCTTGGGGAGGGGGGCCGTTGTTGTTTTGTAAGGATTACTTCGAAATTTTTAATGCATGTAGGCTTATGAATATCAGGTACTCCTACAAAACTGTGAATGTTTGTGATCGTGTTCTAGTATCTCTCCAGGCGCTGTTTGCGGGTGGTGTGCTGTGACATGACAAGGTTTACAGGCGGATTGTTGTTTACTCCCTTTGCCACACATGGTGCACTTCAAAGGTCGCAGTTCGCACCGCACAAGTCACAACAATCATCTCCGACACTGTCGCACAGCCACACAATAAAAACTACAAACTACAGAATAGTTTCTTACTTGGATAATGTCTCCCTCTGCGGAGACTGTAGCACCGGCGGCTGAAAAGTGGCCCTGTAGATCGTAAGTGTAGGTGGTGTAACCATCGCCGTGCGGCGGCGTGCTCTCAAACAGAATCACTTCAAGATACGCCGTCTCCCGAGCCAGCACAGCCTGCATCGTGGCCAGCACTAGCACCACCACCCTCCCTAGCATCTTGTGGCAACATTAAACATCGTCGCACGACGGAGTTCGACACTATCTGTGCCCAGACTTGAAGAAAGAAGGACAGATGATCTGTCCTGAGTACCACATACTATTGATCTGGCCACTCAAGCTGTCCGCCTCGTTACACCGAGCGGCGCGCCTTTGATCTCCACAGTCACGTGGTCCCGCGGCTCCGCCTACCAATGACATGACCTCAGGCTAACTTCTCGGCACACAAATTAATGGGCCGGCCCAAGTTAAACACTCGATTCACTGCTGTAGGCAAACAAAGTGACAAACTGATATGCTGGGCACTCTATTAACGCCATTTAACATTTCCATTCCCTTCCAATGTAAAAATGGCTGTTCCAAATTAAAGTTTTGCAGAAATAGACTGAAGTTACTACTGCCCATAGACACCATGATGGATGGACCATGGATGGACAACAGCACCCGGGGTCCCCAATCTAAAATGAAATTTTCTCAATCTGCCCCCCCCCCCTACAACAACCATGGAGGTAGAAAAATCACACTTTTCTACCTCCATGCAACAACAGACTCTTTCCAAAATACCTCAAAGCAATATTGACTCTTCTAATACCCCTCCCCATCTCCGATTACGCAGTTGGAATTTTGTGGATGACTGAGCGCCTCACTCTCCAAGCAGATGTTACAGCAAGGATTAGCCAAGGACATTATCAGCTAATGGCTAGCCTCTACCAGGCTTCGGGAGGCGGCTGGAAAGAGTAGAAATCGGCCAAATCCAAATAAAGAGATAACATGCCAGGGGGGTGGTCCGGTACTAAGAGAGAACTGTTTGCCGCACTCTGGTAGAGGCTAGGTGCCTATGGCTACTACTACAGTGCTTGGCCCGTTCAAGGAGGTCAACCTTGGCTCATTGGATACTGCCTTGCAATTGCCGCGATTGATTACGGTTATGGCGCCATGCCGCGTGGTCAATACATTTTATCTACTATTGACCTTAGTCTGTCAATAAGATTGGTTCGAGCGGGAGCTCGACCAAAGTAAAGTAAAGTAAGTGTTAATAAGAATTTTTCCACTTTTGACGGGCTAAAACCGGTAAATTAGGTTCAATTGCTGTCGAAGAATTTTTTCACTATTGACGGCTAACTACACTGGCTATGTATAGCCATAGGGAGAATATTGATAGGCCCTAAGTCTCTATATTCCAACTGAAAGTGATTTTATGTGTAATTGAGTGTATTGTATTCAAATCATTGTGGAACATCTGTACATAATTAAAAAAAAATAAAATATTTAAACTCTCTACATGCCAATAGTAAAAACCCCTTCATACTAACGCACAAAATGTATAACGTTATGTATATGTAGGGGAGCTAGATTTCAATCAGTCATATCATCACTTCAAAGAAAAAACACATTTGTTGCATACGATTTTGTTGTGCAAAAGACCACACGAGCAAACGTCAGCTTTTGGAAAAGCAGTTATTATTTTTAATTGTTTATAATTGTTAACATCTTACTTAAGTTTGCCATATGCCAGAAATGAATTGCACAAAAGATACTGGAAAATGGTATTATAAGTTATTTGTGTGAATATGCTTTTGGAAAAGTCATAGCCTCTACTGGGCTTCTGGAGGTGGCTGGAAAGAGTAGAAATCGGCCAAATAGAGAGATCTAAATATCATTGGCACAAGTAATGTTATAAGCAGACTGCATCTAAATTCACACTTTTTAGCATTGCTACTATTTAAGTCAGCATGCTGACCACTTCTTTGAGACAATGCCACCCAAGGAGCTATTCCCATTTTGGCCTCCGGCCAGATTTTTTCAAAAGATTTCTTGTTTCCCTAAATCAGGCGAAAACTAATGTCATCCATAAAAATTTCTTGCTGTGGCCTATATGGGAAGCGCAAAGGTAGCGTACAGATAGCGAACTTGCTCAACACCTGGGCTACAACAGGGGGCCTGTTCCTCTAGACTTCATGGTAAACGGAACTCCTGAAGCATTTTAAGTAAGATGTGAAAAAAAAATTAAATCAAGAGTTGAGTAGTTTGTTAAGATTTTATCTTTCTAATATGTTTTTCTGAAAAGTAGATGATAATTGGGGAAACGTCTTTAATAGTAGAGTGCAGTATGTTTATCAAAAATGCATTTTGACACTTTTAACACAAAATATCCCTTTGTACCGCCACCCCCCAAAAAATATAATAGGAGTGGCTATTTTGCATATTATCAATATATCTATATATAACAAAAATATGTGTCTTTTTGTTGCCTGTACTTTGGGATGATACGCCAGTTGCCTGTTTTTTTCTCTTGGTCCCGAAAATGTGTAGTGTACGCAGGTTGATTTGAATAGTTTCTAAATAAATGTAGTAGCATAAAAAGCTATGGGTACACATAATCTGAGTTTCCTGAAACCTCTAAAGATGGTGGACTTATGGCAGAAGCCGCTTTGAACTGTGGTTGTAAATACACGAAATAAAAGCCAAAGATTGTAGTGTCCGTAGAGATCTGTAGTGTCCATTCTATCTGTGTATATGCGCAAATGTAAATCATTCGTATTGCAAAAGGGTGGGTGTATCTCTTGACATCTCCAACTTATCAAGGCCTTTACAGTCTAACTGATATGCCTGCATAAAGGCCGGGTACGGATATTATAATCGGGGCGAACGTTGGATACAGGCGGCCAATTGATACAGGACTGGCCAATATAAAGTCCCCTTGCCCCACCGAATCTGCTTGGAGATTACGGATATTATAGGGAATTTACGATGGCTTGGGTGAAAGGGAAACAAAAACGATAAATAGCGGCGAGTTGGAGAACTCCAGTCAGAAGCTCTGAGGAAGCCGTTCTCACCTGCTTACGTTTCGATGTCTATCAGGCACCTTGAAGGTGCCTGATAGACATCGAAACGTAAGCAGGTGAGAACCTTACTGGTTGTGTAAGAAGAAAATTCTATACCCTAAGTATCTTCCAACCTGATGAAATTATTTACGGACATTTTAACTGAGTTGGGGGCGGCCCATGATGAGAAGGACTCATTGCGAATGAAAACAGCAGGAAGCAGCAGGGAATACGCCCAGAAGACGCTTGGCATTCGTTGGAAGAGCGTTAGGCATGCGGTGGACATACGTTGAATGCTCAAACGCAATGGCGATACACATGATGATACGCAGACGTGTGACGGCTCTATTATTCGCCATACCGGTGTGTCCGGCCAGTCAAGTCACATTGTTCAACCTTCATGACCCATAATGAAGGCAACGTTTTTTATTTTATTTTTATTCCCATCAGTTTCGGGATTCCCTGAGGATGTCATCCATATAGTATTAAATTTAATCAGCATAGATTGTCAGCATAGATAACTAGAGTTCCCCGATCTCATACCTTCGCCAAATGCGATGTTAATCTTTATGACTGACAAATTATACATTAGATTATTCCCCCCTGATTTAACAAATAGGAACCTAATTTTCATGAATTATATCATTTTATCATAATCTAAACCAAAAGACAGTCTTATATTAACAAAAAATGCATTCTAGTTTTTCCTAATAAATTATGCAAATGAGGTCCTGATTTGAATAAATTATGTTTAATGATGTTCACCTCAACTTAACTTTCAAATACCACAAGTATGAAATTCCAGGCAGTTATTACATAATTATAAAATTTTCTCATTAATTATGCAAATTAAGTCATTATTAACATAATCAATATCTGCCTGTGTTTCTCTCATTGTCAATTACCAATGTCACAAGCTTCAATTGTCCTATCATGGAATGCAGCTGATTTATAGAATTTCCCCATAAATTATGCAAATTACATCCATATTTGCATAATTGTCACATAATTTTATTAAGCATCACGTAAGCTACCTACATACCAAAAATCATGACAATCCGTCAACCGGTTCTTGAGTTATACCCTTTTTGAATATTTTCAAGAATATATCCCTGCAGTTCCAGAGCAAGCCGCTAGGGGGCCCAAACTCATGTCACTTCTTCCCCAACACAAGAGCTACCAACCATCTACATTTCATTACCATAGCATGTCTAGATCATGAGATATCAAAACCGGAAGTTCAACTGCAGTGCTATAACAAGCCGCTAGGGGGTCCAAAATCTAATCATTTTGAGGTCTCATCAAGACCTACCCACCTACCAAGTATCAAGACAATCCATCAAGGCCTTCTCAAGTTATCGTATTTACAGACACACACACACACACACACACACACATACACGAACGCCTCTGAAAACATAACCTTCTTGGCGAAGGTAATGATTGGTTGCTTTATTGTTAAAACATACTAGTCATAGATCGGCATCGGAGTCACGAGCTTAACAGTACGTAAAACTTAAACCACAGTAAACATAATTATTACCTCCATGAAATGTGTCATGGAGGTTATATTTTCAGTTGCGTTTATCTGTCCGTCTGTCCGTCTGTCCGTCTGTTGGTCAACAAGATAACTCAAGAACGCCTGGATGGATTGGTTTCATACTTGGTGTGTTGGTAGGGTGTGACAAAAACTGGAAATGATTAGATTTTGGTCCCCCTAGTGGCTTCCCTTGGTACTGCAGTGCAACTTCCGGTTTTGATATCTCGCGATCTGGACATGCTAGGGTCATGAAATTTGGATGAATGAATGAATGAATGAATGACTGGTTTATTTGATCAACATCAACATGATCCTTTAAAAAGTTCATCGCAGCCAAATAAAGTGGCTGAATTACATACTTTTCACATAAAGAGTTAGGCTATATACAAATTGGCATTTGGTTCAAATATTAATATTTACATATAATAATAACGTTCTAAATGTGGAGAGGTTACTGTTACTGTTCGTTTAGTAGTTTTATCATGTACGGAATGGGACTGTTCTTGTATCTGTTTGTTCGTGCTTTGAATGTGGACAGAAGGTGTTTATTTCTAGTGTCTCTGGAGCTAGAAGGTAGCTCTCGTGCTTGGGAAGAAGTCACATGAGTTTGGGCCCCCTAGCGGCTTGTTCTGGAACTGCAGGATGGTTTCTTTAAAAATATTCGAGAGAGGATAACTGAACAACTGTTTGATGGATGATCATGATTTTTGGTATGTAGGTAGCTGAAATGATGCTTGACATGATTAAAATACAATTATGCAAATCAGGATCTAATTTTCATAATTAATGAGGAAATTCTATAAATCTGCTGTATTCCATATTAGGGCTATGAAACACTTTAGACATATGTAATTGAGAACAACAAGATCATTGGTAGATATTGATTATGTAAATGAAGACCTAATTTGCATAATTAATGGCAAATTGATACAATTTTATGGTGGTAACTGCTGTGAATTTAATACTTGCCATACTTGGAAGTTCAATTAAGGCGAACATCACTAAACATAATTTATTCAAATCAGGACCTCATTTGCATAATTTATGAGGAAACGCTAGAATAGCCTTATTTCTTAAGATAACCCTGTCATTGGGCGGAGAATATGATCAAATTATATAATATATGCAAATGGGCTCTTATAATTTGCATATTGGCAGTAAAAAAATGTATAATTCGTCAGCTTGGATGGCAAACATGAGTTGGCAAAGGTATGTCAGAGGTCATACTTAGTACTTGCATATAACCAACAATATCATACGTTGCCCATGTTAAATGGTAAGGATTTCACCAGTGTGTTGTATGTTACTAGGTAGGGGCTATGTGAATAATTTGTATAAAAAATTTGCTAATGAGCAGGATTGTAAATGTAAGCCATTTATGTGATCATCACTATGCATAAGCTTTACGAAAGCACTAAACATGTCATGGAGGTATGAGATTGTCGAACTCTAGTTATAATAATATGTACAAGTAACATTTAACTTCAATTCGTGTTGTCATATTTACTACAAGTGCGTAGTAGAAAAAAGCGGTCTCTGTTTGGAATCATTATACGTAACGTTAATATTGTAACAGGTTTACTGACATCATACTACCATTATACCAAAGAATATTATACCAGAGAGTTTGACCTTTATGTTCTAGGTGAGACCGAGAACTTTTTGATCACCCCTCGTATCACTTCCATCAAGGAGGTTAACTTGTATTTTATATAACCTCCTAACCTTGCATCCACCTTAGTTTTCACACTGAAGACATATTATTCTACATCGGTTCCAGTTTGTTCTGAACACCAAAGTACTTCCAAACATGTCGAATCCGCCGATGTCTTTACTTTTAATCCCCAAAATGCTGCGTTTGGCGAGTGTTAAATACCTTGATAACATCGACCGACGGCGATGTGCACGTGTGGCTCCCTATAATAATATCTAGACTTAGACTCCATTCAAATGACCTACCGAGTATATGTGGCTTCGTTAAACCGTGGGTCGCGGATCTTCTTATAATAATAATAATAATAATAATAATAATAATAATAATAAATGGTTTTTATTGTCCAAACAGTACCCGTACAGTCGCAGCCTTTATACGGCTGAATTGATGCAGGGTATAACATAATAATAACATTCTAATCCCCAAAATGCTGCGTTTGGCGAGTGTTAAATACCTTGATAACATCGACCGACGGTGATGTGCACGTGTGGCTCCCTATAATAATATCTAGACTTAGACTCCATTCAAATGACCTACCGAGTATAACGTTATGTCTTATGATCTCTTACGGCCCGGGATCTTCTCTGGTTTTCTATCCCTTTATTTCGGCCAATTTCTACTATTTTTCCAGCGATCCGTGGTCCCTGGTAGAGGCTAAAAGTCCCTCCTATTTAAAAAGAGGCTAAAAGTAGATAGCAACGACAGCAACTCCTCCCCCAGGTCGGTCCGTTCTGCCCGTAGAGATGTCGCTAGATGTCGCTCTTGCAAGTAAGCGTACAAGCGAACGTGTTTGTTGACCTTTGAACCGCATCTATGACTCCGAGATAGACATGGAGAGTGGCTCTGTATCTAAGTATGGTAAAGCTGTAACAGGATTAGGAAGAACAACGATCACATCCGAGTCTTCTGAATTATATCACCATGCTTTAACAGATGGCGGCACGTGGAGCGATTGTTCAATACTTGTCACGGAGTACTCAAACTGTATGGAAGCTATTTGTCTGAAGCTGCCATCGGACTTGGCGTCGTGCCTTTTCCTGGAGCTGAGCAGGTCCCCGACCTACACACTCCGGTTCGCACGGTGGGTCACCAGAACACGCCCGGAGAAACGAAGCACAAACGTCGACAACATGTTATGTAACGTCTACCAAAAAAGACAGGAAAATTTAGTGTCTGGCAATCACGAAATGAAGAACAGACAAACAACGTTAACGTTACAACGATTTGAAAGCAGATTTTCAAATTATGAAATTCTCTCAGTTTGTCTGAAGTTGAAGGATGCTTCTGGCATGACCTGGCTCGTTCATGTGGCAATAGAACTGCAGGAACCTATGAACACCGGGACGCAACGAGACTTGTGTTGGTGGGTAGTGTCACGATTGTGTGTGCATAAACGTTAACATGCAGTAGTAGCATAGTACATGTAGCAGAGGGCTGTGGGGTTGTGGAAAAAGCAGTCCAGTCCTGATTGGTCAGCACTGAAAAGGGGTCTGCCTATTACCGGAAAACACATTCACATATAGGAGGCTTAAATCTACCGGAATACACCTTGCATTGATGAGATAACACCCCAAGTCGCTGTTTTTTGGTATAAGATAACTTATATGTAGCCCAGGGAACAAGAAGTCACTTAAATTCTGAAGCGGCAATCGGAGGCGGCCCGGCCAGTCACCATGTTTGTTTACATAGCGTAACGCAATATGTTTGTTTAAGGCGATCACAGAAGAGAAGTGAAATGTACCAAAATAAAAAGTTCTTTTGCACTTCAGCATCACAGTTTGCTACATATTTTGACCATGGGATAACTTATGCGTGGCACAGAGAACAAAAAAATCACTATCGGGCCCGATAGTCGGCGGAGGCAAACGCGGCCAGTCGCCATGTTGTTTAACGTTACATAGCGTATGTTTGTTCAGCGAAATCACAGCAGAGAAGTGAAATGTATCGAAATAAAAAGTTGTGGCCCAGGGAAGAAAGAATCCCGTCGAGCCGCGGGATCTGTGGGATTAACAATAGAGCGGAACCTGATAAATTGAAGGCTTTTATATCTCACCGAGACTGACACCCAAGTGTACAGCCTTCTCTCAGTAAATGCCCATTTATACCTCCGCAGTCGCCAGAAGTACGGACCAGGTCTCCGTTTCAACCAATGATTCAACATTTAGCTTGGTTTTCCTGTACAACAAAATATATCTCGGGAGCGGACAAGCTTGGACAGGAATGCCTGGTTTGTTCTCTACCAGCCATGACTAAAAATAGCAATTTTATCTGCTTTCCGTTGAAGCGCCGAACTTAAAATGCAAATGTTCTCACTTTAAACGATCAGCCAGAGGCGGGCATTGTGACGTCACCAGCTCAAATACGTTCTAGGTGGTTTATACCACCTATACCAGCCAGAAATGGACGAAAAGTCAACTCTTGCGCAAGAGCATCCCTGTACCTATCTTTTCCATGGCAACACCTGTTCATTGAGCTTGAATTAACAACAAAAACCGCTTCGAGAGGATGCGATCATTGTGACGTCAGATTCATTATGTGCACTGAATGGTATACATGGCGGGAGAAGCAAAATCAGCCTTCGGGGGCGGTAACTTTCAACCACCTGTTACCCAAGAAGGAAACACCGCCCACAACCCAAACTTGGCATAATGCATAGAGGAAACCTTTTTCTACCCAAGGACAATATTAATTAAGATTTTGATTAATTAACGGTGCACACACCAATTCTTCCGCGACAGGAGCCTGGCGACAGGGGTCCAATGTAGTGTGCGGAAAAAAAATGACGAAGAGGTTCCGATGGTTCATGTTTGAGTTTACATTTCTCATAATCTGCTGCAAAATGGCTGGAAAGTGTAAGAAGTGACGTGTTTTGGGTGAAAATTGATTTCGGGCCCGAGGCTACTTTCGGGTGTCCTTTCGCCTTCAGCGCGGTGCTTCGGTTTGACCTAGATATGTGTTGTATGCGTTCTGGGGGTGCTGTCGCTATGCCTCGCGCGACGGGCTATTGTGATAATCTCAGTGTTAGGATTTTCTTTATACTTTTCTTGATAATGTTTTCTCTTTCCGACCATATAAGTCATATTAGTGGCTAAATTCTGGGTGATGGGTCTAATTCCACGTGAAAATGGCCAATTTTTGGCATCATTTTTCATCGAAAAATTCTTTTTCCCTCTAAAATTTACAAAAATGTGAGAGGTGAAAGAAATCGAAATTCTATTGTCCTCGTAGCTAAAGCGATATCCTTCATTTGCAAACACAGTGTTTTGGCTTAAGAGGTATTTCCTGAAAGAGACGGTCGCTAGAGTTGAGGGTATGCAGAATCGAATTGAGACCCAAAATAAACTGCGGTGTGCCCCCTTAAAATAGATTTACTTCATCTAGTACATTGTACCAGTCTTTTATCCCATATAATGTTTTTGTGTTGTACACAGTGTATTTATAAGTATAAAAAGAACTCTTTATTTCACTTCTCTGCAGTGATCGTGCTAAACAAACATACGCTATGTAAACGACATGGCAACTGGCCGCATTTGTCGCCTCCAGTCGACAGTTGCCAGCGATTCATAGTGATTTGTTCCCTGGGCCATGTATAAGTTTAATATGTTATGGGTAAACTTTAGTAGTCAGCAAACTGCGATGTTGAAGTGTAAAAGAACTTTTTATTTCGATACATTTCACTTCTCTGCTGTGATTTCGCTAAACAAACATACACTATGTAAACAACATGGCAAACTGCAATTTTCCGGTAAATAGGTACATGTAGACAGCTGAAAAAAGTGGAGTGCATGCCCGTTGCCAGGGGGGGTTCGGAAGAACCCCCCAACAAGGCTCAAAGGTCCACTTTTTGGTCCACTTTTTATGTAAAGGTCCACTTTTTATGTAAAGGTCCAAGATTTTTCTTGAAAAGATGGACTGGAATCGTAGAAAAACTGCTCCCTTTGTCATTGAATAAAAATTTATCTCTGATTTTTTCTTGGAAATCCTCTCAAAAATGCACGAAATGCCATTTTAGGAGGTTCATTTTTCAAAATTTTACGGGGGAGCATGCCCCCGCCCCCCCCAGGAACCTTGCGCCTTCGCCGCTCGAGGTCCCCTCAAGCAGTGGGAAGAACCCCCCATTCAAAATCCTAGCTACGGGCATGGTGTGAATCGTCTGTGTGTAGTTGCACCCTGGGCAAAAGGCATTTTACACGACTTTCCCCACAAAACTCAAGTGAAAATTAGTATTGTCTGTCCAGATGCAATTTCAACAAGAATTCGGAGATGTCATACCTCCATGAAATATATGAGTTATTGTAAATGTTTTTAACTTTTTTATAAGTCTCATTGACTATGGAAATAAGGTCGTAATTAGCATAATCTAGTTTAATCTATGGTTTTCTAAATTCAAATGACAATATGTTTTGTGTAGAATTTCTCTCCTTTGTCATACTTCATTTCAACATGTCCTCATTAAGCAAATGACCTCTACATTAACATAATATACATGTGTATGCATAGTGGTGTTAACCTTTAACGGGGGGTGCCCTAATTCTGACCTACCCCTAATTCCGTGCTAGTTTGAAAAATCCTTGTTGTGGCGTTATGCATGGGAGCACGTGCCTAAAAATAACCACAAGAATGGACAAAGTTTTTGTGTTGATATCGGTAATCTCACAAAGTTTGTTTCAGTTTGACAATAGACGAGTGAAAACTTGTTTGGCGGTTGACGAGCGTGTCAAAATGCAGGTTTTGCTTTTGAAAAACAGCCGCTTTGGAGCAAGTTGCATAATCCTTGCGTAAAAAGAGGACTTGTTTGGGACAGAAAAACAGTTGTAGATTGTTTTAGTCATAATTTGAGTATCATAATTATGAGTTCACCACAAAGTGGTGAAACCATATTGCTTTTTCTCATGATTCTCCTCCTTCTTCTTCTCCTCCTGCCATTTCTTTAAATGGATTCAGCTTCTTCATTTTGAGGCCTAAGGACCTGAAATTTGGTATGGAGGTACAGTAGGCAAATACCCCCAGGCGTTTTTTTAATTTTTGTGATACAGGCTTTTAGAATGGTTTTATTTGAGTTTTTTGGCTGTGTTATAGCAAATGTATTACTGAGTTAGTGTGCAGTGTTACCACATTTGGGCATGAGTCATCACAATGGAATGCAGGGCATCAACCAATAGGCATGCAGCTTTCCTCTATTCTCCTTGCTGATTGGCTGTTGGAATTTAACAGGCTTAACTTAATTAATACCTGCACAGAGCCATTCCATACTGACAGTAGGTCTGTATTCAAGTGTTTTGGTAGGTATTTTAAGCTTTCCTGCTCCAGCATTGGAATGCGGGGCATGAACGCTTCTTTTTTCTTGAAAATCAACAGTTTGCATTATGCAATTAAAAATCCTAACCAATAATGTAGGGAATAGCTATCCAACTGTTGTAGTCTTAGTTGTATGTTACTTCATACTATAGTTATATCAATGTAAAGCATTGTTTTCCCTTGTGTTTCTCATTCTTTCCCTGCCATGTCGTAAAATGTGGTGAAGCCATTGCTGTATTTGCTCCAAAGCAAATGTCGGCCTTTCTAGTTTCTAAACTCTCTTCTCAGATTGACCTGTGTTAAACACTAGGTCGGAATTAGGGCACCCCTATTGCGATAGAACGTTCCACCGGCAAAATGACCAAAAAACTGGCGTATGTTTCATGAACTATTACGCTTGGGTGCAAGGCGCTACACTGAAGTGAAATACACAACAGTGCAGCTTTAATCGTTGTGATCTTTACCTGTCAATATTATAACTCATGTTGCACAGGTTTTTGGTCAGATAAACAGTATTAGTGACTATTTACCAAAGGTATGTGCATTTGCATGGAACATAGGTCAGAATTAGGACCCCTCCTGTTAAGTAACTTACACTTGTCACAAGGTATAAAATTCCCATCATTCACCAACAATGAGTCACAGAATTTTCACATGAATTATGCAAATTAGGTCATCATTTGCATAATTGGTGTCTGTAGATGTTCCGCCTGCAGATTAACGTTACATGTATAAAGTACATGTACTATTATAATCATATAAAACACTGTAATTATAGAATTTTCTCCTTAATTGTGCAAATTAAGTCCTCATTTGCCTAATTTGCATTTGATTATTTACAACTCTCTCAGCTACGTACACACCCAAAATGATGAAAATACGTTGTTTCTACCTTGACTTATTGGCTTTTAAAGATTTCGCCAGAAAGTCACCTGTAGTTTGAGAACAAGCTGCTAGGGGGACCAAACTCACACCACTTATTCCTGACAGGAAAAGCTATCTGTCACCAAAAAGTCAAGACCATAGCATGTTCAGGACAAAAGATACAAAAACTGGAAGTTCTGCTGCAGTACCAAGGTCATTCATTCATTCATTCATTCATTCTACCTAATACCAGCTCAGAAGAGAACAAGAAATAGCCACGCATTCAAGTACCAGAGTTTTCAACCAAGGATTGAGGTGTTCAAGAATTCATTCTTTCCTAGAACTATCGCAGAGTGGAACTCACTGTCACCAAGTACAGTAGGGGCACTGTCAATAGATAGCTTTAAACAATGTCTAGAGCTAGAAGTTCAAGGGTTAGGTGTAACAAGTCGATCGGTGTAATATAGCCAGCTGCCGCCGCGCCGCGTGCCTGCGAAGCTGGTGTGTTACGCCGAAAGGCGGTTATACCGGCTATACAGATACAGATACAGATACAGATACATTCATTCATTCATTCATTCATTTATTTATTTATTCATTCATTAAACATCTCTTTATTTCCTCCATCTTTGGAGAGCCTCGTAAAATCGGTATAATACAAAATAAAATCTCATTCTTGATATTTACAAGAGGTTAGATAAAATAGCAACGTTACACTGTCCCACTGACAGATCCAAGTGAGCACTACTAAATACTGTAGTCTTATTTCTACATATTGCACTTGGTCTTAAAAGGACTACACCTCAAGACATTACAAGTCAGAAAAATCGAATTAAATCGTTGCTACGAGCAATATTACTCTCACAAACTCATACTAAATCTCCAAATGAATGTACAAAGTACGTCTAGGACCAGATTGTTTTTTTTCAGTTCTTCCCTCAGAAGTTTCACCACTCCGGGCATACACATGTAGATTACAAGTCTCTATTACTAGTTAGATAAGTGTCCTGGGTACGTTATACTGAGTGTTAGAGTGTCCATGGGTAAGTCAAGTTCGCCATTTCCATATTGTATGTTTTAGAGCCATCAGTCCCAGAGGTTTCATGGTTCGCGCAGCTCTCATTATAAAGTTCTCCCACTGCTCCGGTTCCACCTCACCCTCAACTCTGGCTCCAAGAAC